GCTGGGCCTCCAAGTGGCCTCTCCTGATCAAGAAAGCATCATCACGGTGGTTCTTCAGCATCCAACCTGGCTTCTCCCGGTTTGGAGTGGGCCTGACCTGTCCCCGCTCTCCTTTCTCTTCCAGGTTGTGTGTTGAGACTTGGACAGCTGCTGAGGGCAGTGTGCCTGGGTGTGGATGACAGTTTCCTGGGTGTGGATGACAGGTCACGGGAGAAGAGAAAATTCTTTCATAAACCAGTCTGTGTTCCTGTCATTGTAGATCGAACACCAGGGGGACAAGCTGGAGATGGCGAGAGAGAAACATCAGGCTTCCCAGAAGGAAAATAAACAGCTGAGTCTGAAGGTGGATGAACTGGAGAGGTTAGAGGCACTTGGTCCCATCTCTTCCTAGGACCTGAGACTTTCGGCCACTTAGCTGATTTGTGCTTAGTGTGCGGAAGTATTTGAGGGACTCAAGGCCCTGGAAGGTGCTAGGCAGACCTGAGAGGAGAAGCTGCTTCTATTCCAGTGGTAAGCCTCGTTGGGAGAGAGGAAGTGGGTCTCAGCCTGGAGAGATGCTATCTGATGGTGTGACCAAGGTCAGCCCACCTGAAGGTACTATCTATTCCAGAGGCAGCTCAAGGGCTAGGGATGTGGCTCAGTGATAGAGCTCTTGCCTGGCATGCATGAGGCCCTTGGGTTCTATCCATAGCAACACACACACACATTTATACACACAGAGGAAGGTTCCATCCAAGCAAATTGGCAGGGCTAATTAGAAAAGAGCAGCCAGGACACTGCAGCAGGAGGGTGGGCACTTCCTCTCTCTCTCTTCCCTGTGTTTCCGATCTTCTTCCTCATGACCACTCTGATATGACTCTTCTCTGTTATTTATGGACTATTGGAGGCAGATGTGAGGCATGCTCCTTTCAGAATCAAGCCCTGACCTTGAGTCCCAGTTCTGTTATGTAATTGTATTGTGAGCTTGAATAAATCATTTAACTGCTTTGTATCCTAGCTTCCTCGAATTGAGGAAAGATGAAGGTAGGGATGGTAATCTAGCTGATGGAGTCTTTGTTATTTGGAGTTATTTGGAGTCTTTGTTGAGAGGATTCTCACAGAAAGCTTAAGCACATTACCTGGCATAGAAAGATGTTCATTATAGGTTAATATATATTTGTTAGCTGGTATTCCAATTTTAAATATGAGGAAACTGGGCTGAGGAGAGGCTGTGACTGGTACCTGCTAAAGCTGTGACTTAGACCTGTCACTGGCTGCCTCCAGGGCTGCATTAGCATCTATAAATGGAGAGCAGGACCTTCTATACTTCACCTCTGTTCCACCCTGTTGGCCTGGAAAATGCAGCCAACTCCATCAGGACTTGCAGCACTCCTTAAATTGGAAGGTACCTGGAAGGGCAGTGGGGATAGAATGTGAACCCATGGATGGCCATGAGATGCTGAGTGGTCAACCAAAGTCCCTTTGCTGAGGGAGACAGCAGTGAATAGCAGAAGTTAAAGGCACAGATTTTGGTGACAGTCCTGCCTGCTGAGCTGCCCTTCAGCCAGTGATCTCCCCTCTCTGAGCCTCAGTTCCTTCATCTCTGCAGTGGAGATGATAATGGCAGGCCCTTGGTGAGCTGCAGGTTGCTGTACTCCATTTGACAACGTGCACGAGTATGGCGCATGCCTGGTGTGGACTTGTTCTTGCCCTCTTCATACTGTTCTCTAACAGCTGTTTCAGTCACACAGTGCAGTGGCCACCCTGCTAACCTGCAGATTTCTTTTGGTTTCTTCCCATGGCTCCTTGGAGATTTTTGGCGTGATGAGACCCCCAGTCCAGGGGTGATGGCGCCCCCCTGGCTGGGTGGAACATACAGGTGGATTAGCACAGGATCTGATTGAGTCCTTTCACATAGGAAACTGGAGGCGACCAATGCCCAGAATGTCGAGTTCCTCCAGGTGATTGCCAAGAGGGAGGAAGCCATCCACCAGTCCCAGCTGCGGCTGGAGGAGAAAACCCGGGAATGTGGGTCACTGGCAAGGCAGCTGGAGAGCGCCCTTGAAGATGCCAGGAAGCAGGTCAGTCTCAATTCCATTCACAACATTCTGTTATCTTGGGCAAATCACCTAGCCTTTCTATGCCTATTCCCTCATCTGAGGAAATATAGTAAGTAGTTCCTGCCTCATTAATTTGTTAGATGAGTATTTGTTGTAGAGGGTTCAGCACTTTCTATACATGATTGCTATTTACTTTCTGCCCTCTTGGGACTTAGGCAGTTCTTCTACATCTCAGGTGATGACTCATGGGGCAAGGGCGAGCAGTACAGCTGGGTTGCAGGAGCAGACCCCATGGTTATCCTACCCTGAGGCTCCAGTAGAAGGCTTTCCATACCCACATCAAGTGCTGTCTGGAACCAGGTTGTGAGAGATTCAGGAGGGCCACTGCACTGTCTTTGCCCGTGTTACCTGTGTCAGGTTAGCCAGCCCTATCTCTCTGTCTTCTGTGCAGGTGGAACAAACCAAGGAGCAGGCACTCTCCAAGGAGCGAGCAGCCCAGAACAAAATCTTGGACCTTGAGACCCAGCTGAGCAGGACCAAAACTGAACTCAGCCAGCTGCGGCGGACCCGTGATGATGTGAGTTGGACTGGGGGAATGGACCAGAAGAGAGGGCCAAAAGACTGAGATTCTAGCTTTCTGGGGCCTGCAGGGGAAGGTGTTCCGATGAAACTGTTTTTATGAACTTCATACAGTTTCATTGTTTTCTGTTTTTTTTTTCTCCCCATCTCTTAAGGGTATCCTTGGCCTTCTTAAAAACAGTTTTTACTAGGTGTTTGTATCCCATAAAATTCACTCAAACTGTAGAATTCAATAAGTTTCAAAATAATACAGACTTGAATAATTAATTAGCACAATCTAAGTTTAGAATGTTTGGGGTTTTTTTGCAGGGGGGTTGCCTGGGATTGAACCCAGGGGTGCTTAACCACTGAACCACACCCCCAGTTCTTTTTATTATTTTTTATTTAGAGACAGGGTCTTGCCAAATTGCTTTGGGCCTCACTAAGTTGCTGAGGCTGGCCTCAAAATTGCAATCCTTCTGCCTCAGCTTCCTGAGTCTCTGGGATTATAGTGTGCCTCACCATGCCTGGCTAAGTTTAGAATTTTTTTTTTTTTTTTTGTAATGCTCAAGTGGTGGCACATGTTTTTAGTCTCAGGGACTCAGGAGGCCAAGGCAGGAGGGATCCCTTTTTGAGTCCAGTAGTTTCAGGTCTTGTCTCTTAAAAAAAAAAAAAATAAAGAAAGAAACCCCCTACCCATTAGCAATCTCTTCCATCTCCTCCAATCCCTGGCACCCTCTAAAAAAGTCCCTGTGTGTCCAATTTGCCTGTTCCAGATGACTCACGCACTCTACCCATGCTTGGCTTCTTCTCTTAGGCTGATCGACGCTACCAGAGCCGCCTGCAGGACCTTAAAGACCGCCTGGAGCAGTCGGAGAGTACTAACCGCAGCATGCAGAACTATGTCCAGTTTCTAAAGTCCTCATATGCCAACGTGTTTGGAGATAGTCCCTATACCTCCTATTTGACAAGCTCTCCCATCCGCTCCCGATCTCCCCCTCCCTGAGGCCAGCTATCTAGGGCCTGGAGCCCTGCCTAGTGCCCTGGCAACTGAGGTGTTGCCAAGCCATAGCTGGAAAGCCTGTTGGTTTTCCTCTCTCGCAGTGATGAAGTGTGTTTAGGGTCTTGTCCTTAGCTACTGACTCCAGAAGAGCCCCTAAAACAGCACAGGAGGAAGTGGGAAGCTCTTGGTTTTCTCCTCCCTCAGTTGCCTTATGGGGATTTCTCCTTGACAGGCCTTACATTTACTACTGCACTGGGGTACCAGATTTTTACTCACTTTGACTTTGCCAAGATTCTCCTTTCCTAAGTGAACATTTGGATTGGACTTTTTCCTCCAGTCCCTGTCCAGCCCTTGTCTTTTTAGGAATCTCTGTCCTGGATTTTCTCTGATCTGAACTAGCAGGAGCTGCTCCTAGGTTGTGAGCATCTTCACTTACTTTTTTTCTTATGGGTATGGTAGGGTGCAGTGTTTCCCCAAGGCCAGAGAAATCTCTCATGCTTGAATTTCCTTGAACCACTTGCCTCTAAGTATTTCACAGTAGATCCTTATAGAGGTTCATTTCCATCTGTCCTTTTACAAGCATAATCCCAATCACATTGGGCTTTTTTTTCTTTTTGTATCTCTGGAATGCATTTATTCTTGAAATATTTGTGTCATTTTATAGAAAGTTTTTATGATTATTTAAATTCCTTTGGATTATTTCCTGTACTACCCACTCCCACCCCCTTTAAAAAAAAAAAAAACTAGTAAAATACAGGAGAGAGAGTGAGTAAATGATTTCAAAGTACTTTGTGCATGAATCACCAGGCTTTTCACTTCACCCCAGCTTGGTTCTTTCTCCTTCATGTGCTTTCACTTGACAACGTGAGAGATGTCCAGATGTTTTAGGCAGATCACTTTAGGAAGGGGATGGGATGTGCTTATAAAATATGACTTGGTTAAAAAGAATAAAATATGAATTGGTTTCTGAATTATAAGATCATGAACCATTTTTATTCAAATTTTCCTGCATTTAAAAGAATAGCCAAGGTGTAACTCAGTGGTAGAGTGCTTGCCTACCATGTGTAAGGGCTTGGGTTGGATCCTCAGCACCACAAAAACAAAAAACAAATTTTAAGAAATAAAGAACACTTTTTTTTTCAAATTTTTATACTAGGATTGAATTCAGGGGTGCTTATCCACTGAGCCACTTCCCCAGCCCTTTTTAAATTTATTTTTAAAATATTTTTTTTAGATGGACAAAATATCTTTATTTTTGGTGTGTGCTGTTGAGGATGAACCCAGTGCCTTGCATATGCTAGGTGAACACTCTACCACTGAGCCACAACTCCTGTCCCCTCCCTTTTTTTTTTTTTTTTTTTTAAATTTTGAGACTTAGGGTCTTGCTAAGTTACTGAGGCTGGCCTTGAACTTGAAATCCTCCTACCTCAGCCTACAAAGTTGCTTGGAATACCAGGTGTACACCACCATGCCTGGCAAGAACAAATTCTTCAAAGAAAACAAATTGACACTGTAGTAAACCCTAGCCTTTCTTCTAGCTGGTGATGGCCTTCTGGTCTTGAGTTTTGTCATCTCAGCCATTCTAACCCACATCCACAACTCCAGAGGTTTCTTTGTCCACAAAGACAATCCCCTCCACACCCAGACCCACAGCATCTGGATTTCAAAGACCAGAAAACTCATATAACCATTTATTGGTGAGTGGACATTTGTCCTTTCCAACTTTCAGTTGTTCAAAGGAAGTTCATTTAAAAAAACTACAGCATCCATTGCCACAAAACTGAGCCTATTTTCTTACCCTTTATGTAAATGGATTTGAACTTGAGTCCTTTCCAAGAAAGGACTGTTTGCAAACTTAAACAAATGTGCACAAATATCTGTATAACTTCTCAATTTTGCCAAACTACTGAAAACAACCTCAGTGCAGTTTTTAAAGTGTCCAGGTGCTGCAAGAAATCAGGCCTGTGCTGAAGTTACTCAGCAAGGCAACTTCTGCAGAAGGATGTGCTACAGAACAGTGAACAGTCTGGCAAGCAAGCCTGTGTAGGCAGGTAGTCTGTCTGCTTTTATCCATATCAGCACTGCACTTGCTCTGATAGTTCAGGGTTACAATCTATGTGATTGGCTCTGAGGAGGGCAAAGGGAAGGGCTACGGTTAAAATGGCTAGACTGGATACAGGTTGGGAATCTCAAACTAGCTCTGATTGAATCTTAATATCCCACTTTTACACTTAAGCCTAAATACTATGTTCTGAATATAGACCACCAGACTTTCTATTTCTTAGGAGTGCAGAGCCAAGCTGTTTAACTAGTGAGGGAAGGGTCTTTTTTGAAGGGTCCACTCCTGGAGGACTCTCCCAACAATTATTTTTTGTAAAATATTAGAAAAAGTCCAGGGAGTTTGAAAAAAAGATCAGAAAATAAAAATGGTTTACCAAGTGAGGTTGTGTATGTCTGAATTCCAATTACTCAGTAGGCTGAGGCAGGAGGATCACAAGTTGGAAGCCACCTAGACTAATTGGTGAGATTTCTGTCTCAAAAAAATAAAAACGAATAGAGATGTAGCCCCGTGGTAGAGTGCCTCTGGTTTCAATCTAGTTTCCAAAAACATAATTTTAGTGGTTTTTAGCATATTTACCAAGGTGTGCAACCATCACCATTATCTAATTCTGAACCATCTTCACCACCCCAAGAAGAAACCCATGCCCATTAGCAGTCACTACCCTGTTCCCTGCACCTTTCCTGCCCCTGGCAACTATTAATAGTCTCTTCCATGGATTTGCCTATTATGGACGTTTCGCATAAATGGAATCACGTGGCCTTTCCTGACTGGCTTCTTGGCAAAATGCTTTAAAGGTTTGTGTTGTATCAGAACTTTTTTTTTCTTTAGAATAATTTCATTGTATGGCTATACATATAACATTTATCCAGTCACTAATTGGATATTGGGGTTGCTTGCATTATGACTACGGCTGCTATGGACATTTATATAAAAAGTTTTCGTGTGGGTGTGTTCATTTCTCTGCTTTATACGCGGAAGAAATGTTAACTCTACTTAGCCATTTGAGGAACGGCTCAAGTTTACATTCCCACGAGCAGTGTGAGAAGGTTCCAGTTTCTCCAAATCCTTGCTAAGGGCGCAGGATTTTCTGCAAACTCTCATTTCGCTCTGCACAAGGAGCCTCTGCAGCCTAACCTGCATTCACACCCGGAGGCGTGGCTTGGACCGTTAGGAACGGGGCTACGCTCCCTGCGCTGCGTGCGCGCCCCGGAAGCGGAAGCAGGCGCCCTTTCTCGGCGGCTGATTCGAGGGCTTGTTTTGACACCAGAGGCGCCTCTGAAGGTGCCGCCGGACTGGCCATGCCGTCCGAGGGTCGCTGCTGGGAGACCCTGCAGGCACTACGCAATTCCAGCAAAGGTCGTCTCTGCTACCATCGCGACTGGTTGCTGCGGGGCGAGGTGAGCGGCGGCCGCGAAGAGGAGTAGGCCCCGTCGACGCCGGCGATGGGGCCCTGCTCTTTCCCCGCCCTGGGACGCCCAGCGCGGGGAAAGCTGTGCGTTCTAGCATCCTGTGTGCATTTCTTTACTGCTGTGTGAGCGTGTCCCTCCCGCCTATTCTAGATTCTCGAGGGGCTGCCTTACTTCAGAGGTACTCTTCCGTCTGAGGCTTCATCGCCATCCCAGCCGGAGTTAGGTACCTCCTCCTGTTGTCAAAGCAACCCTAGCTTCTCCGGCTCTGTTAATTTTCCCTCATGCTGGGATCTCTGGGAATAGCGGAGAGTGAGTCACATGGTCACTGACTCACTGTTGCTGCAGTGAAACGACCAAATGTTTAGATGTCATTGGGCGAATCTGTTAAGTTAGTTGGTGGGGGGGGGGGAACGTGGTCACTGAACCTAGTATTCGCAAAGTCCTATACTAGAGGTGGGGGGAGGTGGAGACAGTTAAAGCCGACTCCTATTCACTGGTTGCAGATAACCTATCTACAGATGTCTCGGGCAGTTTCAAAGAATGTAGACCTTACATTGTAAGGTTGATTCCTAGTCTGGTGTTTTCAAACCACCAAACTCAGGTTGTGCATTCTTCACGGGAATGCCACAGAAATGACGCTATATTCTCAATAAGTCGGGTGAAGACACCCACAGATGTCAGCCCACCTTAACACTGATGATGCTCACCTTGATCCACCTGTTCATGTTGGTGTCTGCTGAGTCTCTCCACCTAATTCCTTTTCACTTTCATAGTTGATTACTATTTTGCAGGGAGGTTTTCCAGAGATTTCCAATATGTCTTTTCCTCATTAAACCTTTTCTCCTCAACCTGAGAATTCATTTATGTTTTCCACCTGAATCAGTCACCTCTCTGATGTTGCCAAATGGTGTTTTTGTATCTTCCCTGCTCCCTCTGTGTGAATAAAACAGGAACCCATGAGTCCATATTGAAATAAATAATCAGAGGAGAAAAGAAAGATCTTCTTTACAATAAAAGAATTGGCATTTTATTGTAAAAAAGAGCTTTCTTTTCTCCTCTGATTATTTATTTCAATATGGACTCATGGGTTCCTGTTTTATTCAGTGAGTCGTATCTATTACTATCATTATTCATTTACTTATTTTTTTTAAGAGAAAGTGAGAGAGAATTTTAATATTTATTTTTTAGTTATCGGCGAACACAACATCTTTGTTTGTATGTGGTGCTGAGGATCGAACCTGGGCCGCACGCAAGCGCGCTACCGCTTGAGCCACATCCCCAGCCCACTTATTTTGTTTTAAATGTCTCAGATTTGGCCAATGGAAGCCTCCCTCCTGAAGTCCCTTGGGATTGAACCCAGTGTCTTCTACAGGTTAGGCAAGTGCTCTAGAACTGAGACATAAGACCCAGGAGCCTCTTTGTCAACTCTTGGGTTCCTTTGATATGTTTTCATTTCTTTTGGCACAATAAAGTGTCCCAGGTATAAATTGTATTTTCCCTGTTCCTGGACTCAGCAGTTTCTCCAAAGAACTTTAATTTTATTTTTTTTTTTTTTTTTGATGGTGGTACTATAGGTGGAATCCAGGATCTCACACATGCTAAGCAAGCATTCTACCACTGAGCTACATTCCTACCCCTTTTATCTATCTATCTATCTATCTATCTATCTATCTATCTATCTATCTATCTATTTATTTATTTATTTTGAGGCAGAATCTTGCTAACTTGCCAATGCTGGTCTTGAATTTTTTTTTTCTTTTTTTGGTGGTGCTGGGGATTGAACCCAGGGCCATGTGCATCAAAGGAAGCACTCTACCAACTGAGCTATATCCCCAGCCTTCTAGTTTATTTATTTTTTTTACACAAAATACTCTTGTAGTTGTCTTTTTTCACCTAGTATATTAATATATTCTGAAAATCACTCCATGTCAATTTTTTTCCAGTTACATATTTTGTTGTGTAGAGGTCCTATAGTTAATTCAACCTCTCTCCTAGTCTGGATATTTAGGTTGATTCCAGTAATTTGCAGTATTTTAATAGGCTTGTCCATGTGTATTTTCGTTTTGTGGGAAGTGATTCTTTAGGATAAAATTTTGGGAATGAGACTGTTGGGGAAAAAGTAAATCCAAATGTAGTTTGTATATACATTGCCCAAGTCCACTCCATAAGGTATATAATTTGTCATCTAAACACCAATGCACAATTGTACCAATTTGCTTGTCAAAGAATGTATGATGATACTTTTTGCTAATAGGTAAGAATGAGACCTCAATGGAGTTTCTCTCTTGAGTGAGTTTGAACATCTTTTTATATGTTTGAGTCAGTGGTTGGGGGAGATATCAGGGGTTGAACTCCTTAGCGTCCCACCTTTGCTGAGGCTGACTTTGAACTTGCAATCCTCCTGCCTCAACCTTCTGAGCTGCTGGGATTACAAGCAAGTGCCAGGCTTGAGTCAATTTTAAATCTTTGTGAATTGCCTGTTTATATCTTTTTCACATTTTTCTATTGAGGTTTTGGTGGTTTCCCACCCACCAGCCCCAGGTTTTACAAATTCTTGTGTGTGTGTGTGTGTGTGTTGCTGAGGATCGAACCCTGGGCCCTGTGCATGTGAGGCAAGCACTCTACCAACTGAGCTATATCCCCAGCCTATACAAATTCTTTATGTATTGGAGAATAGTAGTCCTATATCAATTATCCTAGTTCATTTGTTGAAATTTTTCTTTATGGTGGTTTTTAAAAATATTTGCTCCTGGAATTTATTTTAGTATAAAGAATGAGTAAAAGGTATTATCTCAGCAATATGTTTTTAATATTGACCTCGTTATTATAGACTATGTATCAGCGTGTTGGCTTTTTGCCCAGATTGTCCATCATGGGTTGAATACCTGTTTGTTGTACATGAGATGTGAACCTATTATCTAGATTAGTATTTCTCAACCACCTTACTTGGGATTGAACCCCGGGGGGCTATACCACTCCCAGTCCTTTTGATTTTGAGATAGGGTTTTGCAAAGTTGCTGAGTCTGGCCTCAAACTTGAGAGTCTCCTTCTCAGCCTCCTGAGTTTACAGATGTGTGCCACCATGCCCAGCTCAACAGTATTTTGTTTTATTTTAGTACCAGGAATTGAATTCAGGGGCACTTAACCATTGAACCAGATCCCTAGCCCTTTCTTTTTTATTAGTTGTAGATGGACACAATACCTTTATTTTATTTATTTTTATGTGGTGCCAGGGATTGAACCCAGTGCCTCAAGCATGCTTAGTCAAGTGCTCTGCCACTGAGCCACAACCCTGGCCCATCCCCAGCCCTTTTTATGTTTTATTTTGAGATAGAGTCTTGCTAACTTGCTGAAGCTGGCTTTGAACTTGGGATCCTCCTGCCTCATCCCCCCCTCCACAGTCACTGGTGTGTGATGTGCGCCACCACACCTGGCTCAACCAGTATTTTTTTTTTTTTTTTGAGAGAGAATTTTTTAATATTTATTTTTTAGTTTTTGGCAGACACAACATCTTTGTTTGTATGTGGTGCTGAGGGTCGAACCTGGGCTGCACGCATGCCAGGAGAGCGTGCTACCGCTTGAGCCACATCCCCAGCCCCTCAACCAGTATTTTTTAAAAAATATTTATTTTTTTGTAGTTGGACACAATATCTTTATTAAATATATTTATTTATTTTTATGTGGTGCTGAGGATGGAACCAAGGGCCTTGCATGTGTGAGGCGAGCAATCTACCGCTGAGCCATAACCCCAGCCCCTCAACCAGTATTTTAAAGTGACTAATACTCCACTGTAATCATAATGTTTATGACAATTTACTTCAAAATTCCTCTCATGTTCTATTCTTTTCCAGTGTTTTAGATTAGTTTTTTTTTAGGGAGGGGTATACTGGGATTGAACTCAGGGGCACTCGACCACTGAGCCACATCCCCAACCCTGTTTTGTATTTTATTAGAGACAGGGTCTCGCCGAGTTGCTTAATGCCTCACTTTTGCTGAGGCTGGTTTTGAACTTGCAATCCTATCTCAGCCTCCTGAGCCTCTGGGATTACAGGTGTATTCCACTGTGCCTGGTTTAGATTAGTTTAATGGCAATATTCGCACAGTGTGCCTTTTTATGCAGTTAAAATTGTTATAGTCATATTTTCTTTAGAAGAACAGATGTTGGGGTCATTACCAAGGAACTATACTTTTTATCCCTGATTGTTAATGTAGTTACTTTGAGTCTTTGGTATTTATTTATTTGGTCCCTAGTGTTCAGTAAGGCATGTAGTGGATTATGCTTGATCAGTGGACATGCAAGTTGGGTTTAACTTGGACTTCTTCTCTCTAGGATGCTTTAGAAGAATGTGTGTCTCTTCCCAAGCTGTCCCCTTATTCTGGATGGGTGGTAGATCACATCCTACCGTACAAACAAGAGAACCCCGTTCCCTCAGAGGCTTTACTTTCATCTGGATCTGCTTCTGCCTTAGACCAACCCTCAGTAGTTCCCAAATCTCCAGTTGGAAGCTCTGCCCTCTCAACAGCATTGCCTGCAACACCAAATGGAGCCCAGGTAAAATGTGATTAGTTGAAGACAGAACACATAGTAATGGCAAAGTTGGAGTATATAAGAACCACATGGATCTTCTACATAGAAAGTTTATGGTTTTAGTTTGTATCTAGTACTTCATTTTAAAAATATTAGTCTTTTAGGGCTGGGGTTGTGGCTCAGTGGAAGAGCACTTGCCTATCATGTGTGAGGCACTGGGTTTGATGCTCAGCATCACATATAAACAAAAATATAAATAAAGATCCAACAATAACTAATAAAACATTTTAAAAAATATTAGTCTTTTAAAATCTTTATTTCTTTCCTTTTTTGTGGTGCTAGGGATTGAATCCATGGGCATCCTACCACTGAGCTACACCCCTAGCCCTTTATCTTTTATTTTGAGACAAGGTCTTGCTAAGTTGCCTAGGCTCACCTCAGACTTGGAATCATCCTGCCTCAGCGACCTGGGTAGCTGGATTACAGGCATGCACCACCATGCCAGGTTCTTTTAAAAATATTTCTAGCAGACTGGGTGTGGTAGCACATGCCTGTAATCGCAGCAGCTCAGGAGGTTGAGGCAGAAGGATTACAGATTTAAAGCCAGCCTCATTAACTTAGTGAGGCCCTAAGAAACTTATAAAGCCCTGTCTTAAAAAAAAAAAAGAGGGGAGTTGTGGTTGTGGGCTCAGTGGCTAAATGCTCCTGGGTTCAATCCCCTTCTACTAAATATATGTATTTTTAGCAACTGATCATCATACACAAAAAAAATCAACCTTCACCTAAACCTTTTATCTTATATAGATATTAACTCAAAATGATCACTGACTTAAAGGTAAAACTATAAACCTTTTAGAAACAAAACTATAAAGTATAATTCATAAAAGGAAAATTGACAAATTGGACTTCATTAAAATGACAAATTTTGTTCTCTGAAAGACCTTGTGAAGACAGTACATACTGGAAGAAAACAGTTGCAAACTACCTGTCTGATGAAGTTTTTCTGTCTAGACTATATAAAGATCTCTTTAAATAAATAAAAAAATATAGGCAGTGGATATGACCAGATGTACCTAAGACAGTATATAGATGGCAAATATGCATGTGAAAATGTTTTTAACGTTATTAGCTACTAAGAAAATGTAAATTAAAACTACAATGAGATAATATTGCACATCTATAAGAATAGTTATAAAATGAAAAATAGTGAGGGGCTGGGATTGTGGCCCAGTGGTAGAGTGCTCACCTAGCATTCATGAGGCACTGGGTTCGATCCTCAGCACCACATAAAAATAAAATAAAGATATTGTGTCCACCTAAAACTAAAAAATAAATATTAAAAAAAAAAAAAGAAAAATAGTGAGAGCACCGAATTGTTGGTGAGGACATAGAAAGTCTGGATCTCACATATATTTTGGGTGGAAATACAGAATGGTTCTATACCCCAAAAAAGAGTCTTAAGAATTTTTTTTTTTTTTTGGTACTAGGGATTGAAATCGTGGCACTCAACCAGTGAGCCACATCCGCAGCCTATTTTGTATTTTATTTAGAGACAGAATCTCACTGAGTTACTTAGTGCCTCACTGTTGCTGAGGCTGGCTTTAGACTTGCGATCCTCCTTTCTCAGCCTCCCAAGCCACTAGGATTACAGGTGTGTGCCACTACACCCAGCCAAGACTCATGCTTTGAGGGCTTGTTCCTTAGTGCATCAATGTTCAGAGGTCGGGTTCCTAGGAAGTGACTTGATCATGTGGGCCCTGATGTAAAGTAGTTGATGACTTTATTGGGAGATGGGGGAATTTGTAGGAGGTAGGGCCTAGTTGTAGGAAATCGGTCACTGGGAGCACATACATATAGGTCATTTCTTGATCCTTGTCCCTTCTTCTCTTTTTCTCTTTGCTTTCTGGCCACTGTGAGGTGAACACCTTTGCCTCCATCACACCTTCTATGCCTCATCATAGACCTGAAAACAATGCAACCAGGTGACTATGGGCAGAAACCTCTGAGCCAAAATAAAGTGCAGACTTACAGGGGCTGGAGATGTAGCTCAGTTGGGTAGAGTTCAATCCCCAGTACCCAAAAAAAGTTAATATACTATTTAATTTCTTTTGTTTAACATTCTTGCATTCTTCTTTTTCACAGTGCTGTGAATTAAACTCAGGGCCTTGCAACCAGGGCTTGGTGGCACACCCCTGTAATCCTAGCCATTCTGGAGGTGGAAGCAGGAGGATCACAATTTGAGGCCAGTCTCAGAAACTTAGTGATATCCTATCTCAAAATAAAAAGAACCAGGAATGGAGCTCAGTGGTAAAGCACCCTTGGGTTTAATCCCCAGTACTGAATGAAACAAATTTATAATTCTTTTGCCTCAGCCTCCAAGTAGCTGGGATCATAGGCAGGTACTAACACACCCAACCTTGTTTAATCTTCTTTGTGTGTGTGTGTGTGTGTGTGTGTGTGGTACTGGGGATTGGGCCCAAGGATTACTGTACCATTTAGCTACATTCCCTAGCCATTTTTATTTTTTATTTTGAGTCAGAGTCTAGCTAAATTGCCAAGGCTGGCCTTGAGCTTGTGATACCCTTGCCTCAGATTACAGGTATGTGCTACCCAGCCTGGTTTATTTAACATTCTCTAACCAACGAAAGTATCAGCTTGGAGAACAGGATAGGGTTTAGGGATGGAGGAGGAAATGACATGGCTACAAATGTAAGTGTGGTATGAAGTAGCTTTTTGGTGAGGGGAGAGAGTTCTGTATTTTTTCTTTTTTTCAATGCTAGGGATTGTGTATACTAGGCAAATATTTATTGCTGAACTACATTCCTAGCCCCTGTATCTTGAGTGTGGTAGTGTTTACACAAATCGACACATGATAGATTGCATAAAAACTGTACACAAGTACAATGAGTGCCTGTGAAACTGATAGAATCTGAATAAGCTTGGTGGATTGTACCACTGCCAATCTCTTACTCCTTTTAATGTTTTATTGTATTTATGAAAGATGGTGCTATTGGGGAAAACTGGATCAAAAGTACACGGGACCTTCCTGTACATAGCTCTTTAGCTTTCTGTGGTTTATATCATTTAGGAATTTTTGGTGTTGAACAGAAACCCAGTTTAACCAGTTAAACTAACAAAGGATGGGGAGGAATTATTTAGTTCAGGAAGTCCAGGAGAACATCTGGAATTAGATCTAGATGATTACCATTGTTCTTTCTCTGCTTATTATTATTTTTTAAATCAATAACCCATAAACAGGGTTTTGCCTCTCCATCTTTCCTTTTTGTCTCATTCTTCTTGGCTTTGTTTTTCAGATAGACACTGTCTGGCATATTGGCTAATGGGAACCCCAGACTCACATCTTAGGTTAGCATTCCTGACAGAGAGAGCCTTCCTGGTTGGCTCCATCAGAAAAGGTCAAAGATAGGCTCTGACTGGGTGTGATGGAGTATACCTATAATCCCAGTGGTTTAGGAGTCTTGAGCAGGAGGATTGCAAGTTCAAAGCCAGCCTCAGCAACCTAGTGAGACCGTAAGCAACTCAGCAAAATCTGGTCTCTAAACAAAATACAAGAAAAGGGAGAGGGATGTGGCTTAGTGGTTAAACACTCCTGGGTTTGATCCCTGGTACCAAAAAAAAAAAAAAAAGGTTCTGGCCTAGCTTGGGTCATATACCCTATTCCTCAGATGGATATACGATACAGGAGGAGAGAGCACGTTGATTGTCAGTCTGGTCAGGTGCTTTCTTCTGAGGCATCTGAAAGTTTGGAGGAGTAGCTGGGGTTGCTCCGTCCAAACCACCCTAGGACAAATGGATACTTATCAGAAGAAAGGGGGAAATTTTCCTGAACACACAAGCTAGTAGTCTAAATCAAAATAAAACAAAAATCCACCCAAAGCAACAAACATCAGTTTATTATTATTATTAAAACAAAAACAAAAAACAGAACAATGTGAATGTTATGAAAAGCATACTGTTTCTAACCTAAATTGTGTTTTTATTGTTATAAATTTTATAAATTTGGATGTGATCTGTAGACCTAGAAGAGATAACACCAACTTTACAAGGTTAAAAACTCAGTTCTTTTTCCTCTTCTTCCTGTGTAGAGCAAACAGGAGTCTCAACATACAGAATCTATGGCACTTCAGTCCTCTCGTGGAATTAGAGTGGAAGGATGCATCCGAATGTATGAACTGGTCCACAGAATGAAAGGAACAGTAAGTGAACCCATGAAGTAAGGCATGCCTGATCCACTTACTAGGGAGGTGCATTCAACTTCATTCTCCAGGGTTTAGAAATGCCCACTGGACGGCAACTCAAGAGGCTAAGGCAGGAGGATCACAAGTTTGAGGCCAGCTTCAGCAACTTGATAAGACTCTATCTCAAAACAAACTAAATAAAAAAGGCTGGAGATGTGGCTCAGTGGTAGAGCACCCCAGGTTTGATACACCAGTACTGGGGGAGATAAAGGAATGTCCACTGTATGCTCATCATGGTGTCCTACACACAGAAGCTTATTTGGGGAGGTAGTATAATGTAGAGGTTAAGAGAGCACTAGGGGGGCTAGGAATGTGGCTCAGGCGGTAACGCGCTCGTCTTGCATGTGTGCGGCCCGGGTTCGATCCTCAGCACCAAATACCAACAAAGATGTTGTGTCTGCCGAGAACTAAAAAATAAAATATTAAAAATTCTCTCTCTCTCTCTCTCTCTCCTCTCTC